AACCCCGGAACCCCCCGGAAAACCCCCGTAAAAACCCCGTTACCGGTCCGTTCCCCTTCCTCGACCGACGCGTCGACCACAGGAGCAGGCGGTCGGGGGAGGGCTCGCCTTCCGTGGCGGTGGGGAGCTAGAGCTGCGGGAGGCGCGATCGTCTCTGGAAGGAGGAGCCGCAGGGTCAGAGGATGTGCGAAAATAACTCACAGCACAGAATAAAACTTTGTGGTTACCACGCTTTCACGGCAGCAGAGACACTTTTCTATTTTCATTTGTTTTATAATTATGTGCAAATTCTATTTTTTATCCAATCTGTGGTCCACTAACTGAAAAAGAAAACAAACCCAAAAGCCCCCTTTCTAACTGCTGACCTCACACTTGCCGCAGAGCGATCCGAAGACTCTCCCTTAGTGACCCCGCTCGCAGCGGAAGCCCTGACGGGCCGACACTCTCTGCTGCCATCCTTTCCCCTCGTGCGTTTCGTCAGGCTGGGGGCATCCGTGCTGTTCAAACCCAGAACCAGCCTCTGCGGTCTACCGTTGTTTGCTTTGAAATTATTTTCGAGGATTCATCCTCAAGATGTTTTAAATAGTTTCAAGCTTCACAGTACCTCCAAACGACTCAGTTCTCTCTGTGTTGTCTACACTGAGACAGACACCACGCTGTGCCCCAGACACTGGACGGGAGACACGGACACCCAGCGCCGTGGGCCCTGTGAGCAGGGGCTCGGTGCGCTCCTGGCCGAGGAGTGGGGGCAACCCGCTGCAGCTGCCCCGTGCGCCCCACGCTCACAGCCCCACACCGAGGACGGCCCTCAGTCAGGGCGGGGGTCCTCCGCGTCCCCAGGCAGAAGCGCAACTTGCGGTGCGAGCCCCTCCCTCTGGGACTAGCTCCCCTCATCGATGTAATCTACAGCCACCGGGGGCACTGGGCCACCACACCCCCGCGGCGTTATTTTCGTTCTCCTTATTCACTGGCCAGTTTCCTCGCCTTGGTAGTGCCTTTCCCACTCAGCCACAAGGCATTTCGTTCAGTGAAAGCCGCAGCAGGAAGGGCGGTAAACACTGTGGTTGTGCAGCCCTGCTAAGTGCAGAAGTCACCCGGGAGGCGGCCGAGCGCAGGCCAAGCGGGCCGCGTCCACGCCAACGCGCCTCCCCCGCGCTCCCGCGTCCACCAGCTGCCACGGGTGCTAATTGGCGGGGAGGGCACAGCCTCTAATACTGCCCTCACGTCCCCGCAAACTCCACGTCCCTGACTGCTGCCTTGGCCCACGGCCATCGTCTCCGAGCCCCCCTTCCCTCGTAAGCTTTATTTTCATTTATCTAAATGGAATAAAATAAAAGCGCGGGGCCCCACTGCCTCCCTTCCAGCCGGCACCATTCTCTGAACAACAGGGCTGGGGATCCGGGCTTGTAGGGGGAGCAGAGACTGGGGAGGAACACTCTCTGTCAACAACTCCGTACGGCCTGCCGCTCTGGGGCAAGACAGTAAGCTCGTGTCCAGCAGGACTGTCACAAGTCACAGCAGAGGGCCCGACGGGAGGTGGGTGGGTTAAGTGCCACGTGTGACCAAGCACAGACGCCACAGGACAGCCAGCCGGGAGTTCTCGTGATTTCCTGGGCTGGCACAGGTGACAGGTTCAGGACGGCGGAGGCTGCCTGGACACGAGGCATGACTGGCTGACTCTGAAGGCAGGCAAAACCACTGCCCCCCAGGGCAGCACCCTGAGTCACACTGATGGGGCCCACCCTCTCCCACATGCGGCAGGAGACTCCCAGCACAGGCAGGGCTGCGTGACCTCCCTGCCTCGAAGCACCCTCTCCCCTGACACCTCACGGCAGGTCCCACGCCAGCTCCAGTGCCCGGCTGATCCTACGTCGGTCACCCCTGCAACATCACGGGGAGTCCCCGGCCCCACCAGACCATGCTCGTCACCCAAGATGGTCGAGGCGTCGCCTGCTCCCCCAAAGCAGTCCCACGGATTCACAGCTGATCTGTAAGCTGCGGAAATGAGGGCCGTGAGCTCCCATCTACAATCGTGCGTGTTGAGGAGAAAACTAGGACTTAACTGTGCGTAAAATATTTAGCTAAACTGTTTGGGTGACGACAGTTTTCTTTAAAAAGACAGAAAATGAAAAGCACTGTTGGCTGTTGGCACAAAGTGGCCTCCGGACTGAAGCAGTGCGGACTCGCCCCGGGGTCAGAGGCAGTGGTACCTGCACACTGGGGTGTCCTCCGGCCGACGCCTTCACAGCCCCCCGGCTCCCCTCCGTCTCATAATGGGCTCTGTGGTGAGACTTGGGCTGCACTTCAATCCTCAGCTCATAGGGTCCTGAGTGAGACGGCAGCTGCCAGTCGAGGGCCGGGAGAGTTGGGCTGAAAGGGGATGGAAGAGCATTAGACACCGCACCCGTCCCCTGCGCCCCATCCCCCGCACCCCATCCCCTGTGCCCTGTCCACTGCAACCCCATCCCCCACATCCCGTCCCCTGTACCCCCATCCCCTGTGCCCTGTCCCCCCAACCCCATCCCCCACATCCCCCCCTGTGCCCTGTCCCCTGCACCCCATCCCCCACGTCCCGTCCCCCGTGCCCCACCCTGTGACCCCAGGGCCACGGGCAGTTCACCTTGCACCGCTGGCGTCTAAACCCTCATCAGGCAGGACTGCACCCTGACACAGCCCTCTAAACGTCTTTGACGGCTCATGTGCCCGGAGCCTTTCGGGTCTTCATGACGAGCCTCCTGAATAAGATGGAAACACTTCCACAATAGACCCGGAAGTGTTTTCCTGAATAAGGTGGAGACTCCTCCACACTAGACCTGGAAGTACTTTCTTTCCTTCACGATAGGCAGATAAATTATTTAACCTCCCCAGTAAGATTAAAGGTCTTTCAAAATCACAGTGGTACCCACTCGGCCTAAGAACAGGAAGGCCTGGTTCTAATCATCGCTTCCCACCAGCTAGGGCCCAGCTGGGTGGCAGGACTTGACTGTTGGGGACGCGACGGGCTCCGTATCAGGACCTCGCCCCAGCCTCAGCCCCATGATTCGTGCGTGACAGGTGTCGAGCACCCACCAAGGGCAGGAAGGAGCTGCAGCCCCAGGCCAGCAAACGAGGGGGCGGCTGTGGGGCCCGAGATGGGTCTGGGAGCTGGTCTGTTATTTTGGCGCTGGTGAGGGGAGCGGGAGGGAGGGGCACGTGTGCTAGGCCCGCCCGCAGAGCCCCCAGCTTCGTTTTCCCTCATGGACTGGCGGTGGGCACTGCTGGCCTCATTCTACACATGAGGAAACCAGGTCTCTGTGACTCCAAAGGCCGTGCAGAACATGCTCCAGGGTCCTGCCCGTTGAAAAGGCACAGGTCAGCCCCCAAAAGACACATTCTTGTGCAAGGCTCCCATGTTCGCACAGGAGCTGGGGTCCGGCCCGCCCACGCTGCCCTGCAACCAGAGCTCCTGCAGCGTCACAGGGCCGGGGGAAGGGGCCTGGGAGCCCTTGACCTCACCTGGAAAATCCAAGACTCTAACACGAGAAGAGGCTTCATCGGTGCTGCTGCAGCCAGAAACTTACAATCCTAACTGGAAATCGTGCAAATTCGATGGACACAGGCCTGAGAATCCAACAGTCAGAGCCAGTGGAGGCCGGGATGGCCAGGCCCCTCAGGGCACCTCGGTCTAGGCAGGGAGGAGGCCTGTGTGTCCCTCAGCCCGAGTCCACTCCACTGGGAGTGGACTAATCGCTGTCCGAGTGGGAGGCCTTCCAACCCGGGGAACCCCTCCTCACACTGGCCGATTCCGGGAGAACTTTCACTTGAAAATCCTCTAGTCAATGGCCAACCTAAACCCAGGTTCCCTCAGGGGACAGCTGAACTGGCCGCCGCCCTCCCAGCTCCTTCCCGTCTGCTGTTTCCATTCGGAGTCCATGTCAGCACGGTGCTGAGACACAGCCCGCTGGTTCTCACTGAGAACCGCCTCGGAGAACTGGAGCGCGTGACCAGCGAGAGCCGGGCAGACACGTGTGTGTGCTGAGCGTGCGTCTGCTCGGGCAAGAGAAACGCCAAGTCACGGGCAGAGCCAGGAGCCCCCCATCCCAAATGCCAGGTTGCTTCTGAGTGCATCCCACAGCCATCGGGGGGTGGGGGGGAGTCGTCCTCATCCAGGAAGCTCCAAGATGCGTTTATCGGTTTCCTGGGCCGTGGCCGATGGGGGCAGTTCTCAGGTGAAGCTGCAGGTTGTCGGCGTCACAGGGCCGGGGGAAGGGGCCCGTGAGCCAAGGGCTTCCGCACGAGGTCGGCCTGGCAGGGCTGGCTTGGGGTGGGGGCACAGGTCCCGGTGGATAAGAGTCTTACAGGGGCTGCTGCAGGCCCTCCGACCGTCTGCCCACTTCAGAGCACCGTCCCCGGAGGGGTACCCGTCTCCAGTCAGAAAGTCCAGCTCACTATATTCATTCTGTGCTGTCTTATACATTCTGTTGATCTAAGTAAAAAGCCTGTATCTAAAATCTAATGGTTCATGAAGAATGGGGCGTGGGGCGTGTAAGCCTCATGTGAAGGACCAACTCAGGAAACAAGGCCAGGAACAACATGTGCTGGGGTGGGAGCGCAGAGTCTGGGGGAGGCCTGAAGACCTGCCTGAGGCCACACTCTGTCTGCAAAGCCTAGAACAGGCTCCCTCCCCAGGGCAGCAGGTCAAGATCCAAGGACTAAGACCCAGGGCCGTCCTCTGGGGGTCTGCGCCACAGGGCCTGCACCCTGCAGGAGCCCTCAGCCGGCTCCAGACGAGAGCCTGGGGCCAACGGAAAATCACATCTTTTCCTCGAATCCTCACGAGGTTCTCCTGCCAGTGAAATGGGGGTGACGGAATACCACAGCAAAAGGGGGCCCTCGACCCGCCTTCCACCCCAATTCCCTCCCCGCGGGGCCGCGCGCTCATGTGTGCACACACGTCAGGGGCCAGGCGCCGACAGTGCCCATCACGGATGTGCCAGCTTTGGGGACGCTGGCTGAAGGGGACACAGATCTCTGAGCAACTTGCTGTGACTCTGGAATTCTTTCAAATAAGAGGTTTTTAAAACCGTTTGCATGCTTGGTAATAAGGATCCAAACTGCGTTCCCGCTGCTCCCATCCAAAGACGAGGAGGCCTCTGAGCCCGAATCCCCGCCCGGCGGAGCAGCGGGAGCAGGCAGGGCCAAGTGCCCGCGGCCCACCCCGGGCCAAGGCTGAAGGGTGACGCCGGCCCCACGGTCCCCCACCGGGCCCCCGGGAGCGCTCGCCTTGTGTGAGGACCAGGAAGCGAGACAGGCCTCCTGGGCACAAGCGTGGGCGAGGCCTCCGTGGGGAGAACTCCCGGTTTGAATCACCCCGTCCCCAGAGCTGCTCCCCCTCCATTTCCCACGAGAAAGCCTCTGTTTCTTACTGAATCTGTTTCCTTCATGCAAGAAAAGGGTAAAGGACTTTTTCAAGCTGAGCTCACAGCCCGGAGACCACCCACGCACTGGGCTCCCAAACCAGAGACGGCTCAGCTGCTCGGGTCTCCAGGCCCGTCCACGCCCTTCCACCCTGCTGCCCAGCAGCCCCACGCTGACCCCCCGGGAGCCCTTCCTCTCCACCGGCTGCGGCGGACACCTGCTCAGTGCTGCCCCTGGCCTCTGTGCGTCCAGCCTGGCCTTTCCCGTGTGCGCAGGGATTCATAAACGGCCCTCCTCACTGCAGCGGAAGCTGTGCAGAAGCAGCACCGGAGAGGGTAGGGTGTTCGCCAGACTGCAGCTCTGACCTCTGCAGCACGAAACCCCTACGCCCTTCCCGATTCCAACCAATGCCGACCCCAGTCCGGCACCAGGAACACCAGCCTGCGTGACAGTCTCCAGCTGTGCAGCCCGAGCGCCCCAGCTCAGGGCACCGCCGACCGTGGAGACTGGAGACCGTTCACGCCGACTCAGAACCAAGGTCCTGGCAGCGAGCTTCAATTAACAGCAGGGCTCAGGGCCCCGGGAGAGCCTCGTCTCAGTCCCTACCACCCTCCGTGAGTCCCGATGGCCAGTGAACGGGGCAGGCCTCAGGCCAGGCAATCCAGGCCTCTCCACTTGGAGCTGAAAATCTCGTTTAAACCATTTCGCCAACCACCACACACCAGAGACGCCACCAGGTGCGGTGGAAGGACGTGCGCCCATCACTTGCCTAAACATGGAGCCAGATCCCAGCAAGGCCCGGGGTCTCCACCAGCCTGAGGAAAAGCAGGGAACTCCTGGGACAGAGGCGTGCCCCATGGGACACGGGGAACCGCCGAGCCCCCTACAGCTGTGTGCGCAGGAGGCAGACACCGTGCACCGGAATGACCGAGAGGAACGGGGCCGGAACTCGACAACTGCCAAGAAAATAACACAGCATCGGGGATCCGAACACTCACTTGTTCGGTTAAGGGGTCATTTCAAGGCACTTGTTAGCTTCCTAGCGTGGCCTCTACTGGCGTCACAACTAGTTTCTTAAACGAGTGCCTATCTTTGGAAGACGCACACAGTGTCGATGGATAAGATTGAGGGAGGTCTGAGATTCTGCTGCAAAGTAACCGGCTGTGGGTCGGGGTGAGGCCAGCTGACCCCGAGTTCATCGGCCAGGTTAAGGGTGAGCATGGGGACTCGTGACTCGTCTCGGACTCTGTACAAGTTTGGTTTTCTGTAACACGAGTGAAAGCCCAAAAGCCATGTTCACGAGCAGCCCCAGGGACGCGTGCCACGGCCGTCCCCGTGACGCTCCGGTCAGGGAGCTGCCGGGGAGCCAGTTTTCTTTTTGCTTACCTACATTGAAAAACGGTGAAGGATATTAGCTGTAAACCCCCAAAATAACCCATTTTCCCACCTTCCGCCCTTGCCCTGGGAGCTCAGCGACTGTTCTGCACCGGAGGCAGTGACTTCGGCAAAGTGGCTTCTTCACCCAGCCTGAGGCCCCTCCGCCAGCCTCCTTCCTCAGAAAGGCCGTGTTCACCCCACGCTGAGAACCAACATGCACCCCAGCCCCACCGCCCAGGCGGCCGCGCACGGGGCCTCCACCAGCCCCCCCCCCCGGCTGAAGCCCTCATCACGTGGACAGGCGCTGGGGGGGGCAGCACCTCTGTTCAGACGGTCTGGGTAGAACCCTTTCACTTCTGCGCCTCCTGAGAGCTGGGCCCATGTGGACTCACCACTTAGGAAAAAGCTGGTCGGTGCCCTTCTGGGACTCTCACGCCTCTACCGCAACTGAAGCTACAGACTGCACTTGGCAGGCCTCGAATCCGCCCAAGGAGAGACACCAGAGCTTCAGGGGAAGGACGTTACCCACGTTTGAAAGGAACACGTTCTCCCAGAGTCGGAGCCAGGGCCTCCTGTTACTTGCTTTGTTTTGTTTT